TGGTGCTATTGAGTCAACTAAGTCCTTGCAGAGTTTCTTCTTGGTAGATCTATCCATTTCTGACATAGTATTGATAAAGTCTTCAGCTATGATAGTGGAATTGTCTATTTCCCCTTGCAATTCTCTTAAGTTTGGCCTCATAGTATTCTTATGCTCTGCTTTTAACAATAAGGATTGTTAAGTTTTTCTTAGAATGTCGATCCTTTATCATTATCACCTTTCTTTATTCCTCATAATGTTTCTGCTCTGAAGACTGTTCTGTCTGAGATATATACAGCTACTCTTGTTTTTTAAAGTTAGTGTTAGCATGGTATACCTTTATCCATTTCGTTCTTTCAGTCTATTTGTGTGATTGATGGTTTGATTGCAGTACTGGGGATCAAATCTAGGCATGATCTACTACTGAGCTATATCCTCTGCTCATTTTATTTATTTTTTAAAATATTTTTTAGTTGTAGATGGACACAATATCTTTATTTTATTTATTTTTATGTGATGTTGAGTACTGAACCCAGTGCCTCGCATATGCTATGCAGAGCCTTCTACCACTGAGCCACAACCTCAGCCCCTTCTCTTTTTATTTTGAGACAGGGTCTCCCTAAGTTGCCAAGACTTGCCTTAAACTTGCATTCTTCTGCTTCAGCCTGCCAAGTTGCTGGGATTATAGTTGTGCCCCTCTGCATTGGACTGTGTCTTATATTTAAAGTGAGCTTCTTGTGGATAAAGTGGTTTTTATCTTGTTTTTGATCCAATCGAACAATCTCAGTATTTTAATTGATGTGCTAGACCATTGATATTTAAAGTGGTTATTGATATAGCTGGATTAATATCTACCATATTTATTATTGTTTTCTATTTGTTGCCCTTTTTCTATGCTTTTTTCTTCTCTCTTCCCCATCTTTTCTGTGGTATGATGGGCAAATAAAAAATTGTGTATATTTAAGACATAGAACATGTTTTGATGTGCATATGCATTCTGAAATCATTATCACAATCAGGGTAGTTAACATATACATCACCTCACCTTGTTTTGTGTGTGTGTGTGTGTGTGTGTGTGTGTGGTGAGAACACTTAGATCTACTTCAGTTTCATGTTTATAAAAACTTGAGCAATTTATATGACTCCATTTCTTCTCCTTCTCCTTACTTAGCATTATCAATTATATATTTTAAAAACTTCCCTTAGTTGTTGCTGTGGATTTTTCAATATACACTTACAACTAATTCAGTTTTTCTTTCAAATAATTGTATTATGCTTTACAGACTGTACAAGTACTTCACTTAGTATAGTCCTAATCCCTCTCTCCCATCCCTTCTATCTTCACTGTCATTATTTCACTTTTATAAAGCATGTATACATAAGCATATATACTTGCACCCTCTACATATATACATGAATAAACACATTACTTTTATTATTTTGAACAGATTCTTATCTGTTAGCTCAATTAAGAATAAATAAAACAAAAGTTTATTTTACTTCTACTTATTCCTTCTCCAGTATCTTTTTTTATGTAACATAGATTTCTTACTTATATAATTTTCTTCCATCTGAAGAACTTCTAGCATTTCTTGAAAGGCATATATACTGTCTGCAACTTTTCTCGAATTTTTGTTTGATGAAGTCTTTTCTCCAATTTTGAAGGATAATTTGATAGGATACAGAATTCTAAGTTGGTGGGGGGTTTTCTCTCAACTCTTTAATTATTTTATGCCACACTATTTTTTGTTTCCATGGTTTCTGAGGATAAGCTGGATGTTATTCCTGTCTTTGCTCCTCTAGCTAAGGTAGATTTTTCCTCTGACTTCTTTCAGGATATTTTCTTTATTTTGGATTTTCTCAAGTTTGAATTTGATATGCCTAGGTTGACATTTGATTGCTTTGTATTCTCTGAGTTTCCAGGGTCTGTGGTTTGGTGTCTACATTAGTTGGGAGAAATACTTAGTCATGATTGCTTCAAATATTACTTTTGCTCCTTTCTGTATTTCTTCTGTGTCTGATTTTCCTGTGAGGCAATTTTTACACCTTTTGTAGTTTCTCCACCATCTCTGGGTAGTCTGTGTCTTTTCCCCAGTCTTTTTCCCTTTACTTCTTAGTTTTGGATATCTTCAAACACAGAAATTCTTTCCTCACCTGTGTCCAATCTCAAAGATGTTACAAGTGTCTCAGAGATATTCTTCATTTCTGTTACAGTATTTTTGATCTCTAGCATTTCTTTTTGATTCTTTGCTAGAATTTCCCATTTTCTGTTTATATCAGTAATCTGTTTGTGCATTTTTGTCTACTTTTTCCTTTAAAGCCCCTAGCATACTAATCATAGTTCTTTTAAATTCCTGGTTTGGTAATTACAACATTTCTGCCATATCTGAATCTTGTTGATACTTGTTCATTCTCTTGAAACCTTTTTTCCCCTTTTCATTTACTTTGTACTTCTTTGTTGAAAGGTAGACATACTAGATGAAAGGAATTGCTGTAAGGAAACCTTTAGTGTCCTGGTGGTAAGGTATTGAGGGGAAGAGAAGCATTCTATAATCTTGCGGTTAGGTCTCATTCTTTTAGTGAGCCTGTGCTCATGAACTGTGGCCATGTGCTGATCAGTTCCCTTCCCAGCAAGTGGACAGTATTACTAGAGTGAGCTGGATGGAGTTCAGGGTTCCCCTACTGTTGGTTTTCAGATGGAGTGGGGATTCACCTTTCCCTCAAGTAATTTAGGCACTGATAAAACCCCAACAGATCAGGCTACAGAAAGACAGTTTCTTCTGAGGGCAGGCCTTGTTGAAAAGAATGTAAATACTCTGGCATCTTCCAAGAGTTCCTTTTCCCCTCCCCTTACTGGAAACTGAGGAGATTTTTCTGATATTCATTGTGAGGACCTGGTAGAGCTTCTGAAGGTAAGATTCACCAAGGCATATGATTCCTCCCGGAGACTGAACTCCCTGGAGTTTTGACTCAGTCTTGTCATCCCTGAACCTCCAGAAACTTACCAATTACAGTTTAAGTTCTCCTACTCCATCTCTGGTAAAAGTCTATCCATAGATTTTTATGCTGGTGGATTTCTACTCCAGTTATAATGGTTATGATTCTCTGTATTCACCTGTCTTTCCCCAATTTGAGGGACAGCAGTTTGCCCTGTAATGCAGCTAAGATTTGTTGGTTTTCAGTTTTTTTCAGCTTTTATTTGGAATGGTGACTTTTAAGTTTCTTTTATGCCAGATCAGAAACCAGAAATACAATATGATTTTGCAATCTGACAAACATGATCATTTCTGAAACGTAATTGAATCAATATTATATTCATGCTGCTTCACATTTTCATATGATACTTGGTAAGACAAAGCCAAAATGAGCTAAAAGTTGACTGGTCAAATAAATACAAAGCATAAAACAATGTATTTTAAAACCTTTTTAAAAATTTATTTTAAATATCTGTATAGGAGGACTGTCCCAAGGAAACAAAACCAACCTTTTTAATTAAATGATTTCATTCTGAGTTTTTTGTTTATTTCACCCTAAATACTTAGCATTTATTCCTCCTGTATAGCTACAATTTCATCCTGTTTTCAAATATCTCTCCATTCTTTCTAAAACCCCTCTCCCACCAGTCTCTGGTAATCACCGTTCTGTTCTCTGTTTCTCTGAGTTTCATTGTTGAGATTCCACATATAAGTGAGAACATGAGGTGTGATTTTTTTTCTTTTGGCCTGGTTTATTTCTCTCAGCATAATGTTCTTCAAGTTCATACTTACTGTTGCAAATGACAGAATTTTCTTCTCTTGTGGGGCTGAATTAATCTTTAATTGTGTGTGTGTGTGTGTGTGTGTGTGTGTGTGTATATATATATATATATATCACATTTTTAAAATCTATTCATCCATGGATGGACACTTAAATTGTTTTGTGACTATTGTGCATAGTACTACAATGGAATATGGGAGTGCAAGTATTTCTTTGACATTTTGATATGTATGTAAAATACATAGGATATATACCCGATAGGCTATGGGAATGTCAAACCATATAGTAAATCTATTTTAATTTTTTGATGAACCTCCATAGTTTTATATAATGGCTATACTAATTATATTTCCACTAACAGTATACAGGTGTCCCCCTTTCTCCACATCTTTACCAGAACTTGTTGTCTTCTGTCTTTTTAATAATAGACATTCTAATTGAATTGATGTATCTTTTTATACTTTTTACTTATATTTCCCTGATGATTAGTAATATTGACCATTTCTTTATAAACCTGTTGGACAGTTGTATGTCTTCTTTTGAGAAATGTTTGTTTAGTCTGTTGCCCATTTTAAAATCAGATTATTATTCTTTGCTATTAAGTTGCTTGATAATCCTATATAATCTGTAATTAATACCTTACCAGAAATGTAGTTTTATAGTTTTGATTTTGAGTATATTTCCAGTCTCAGTAATAGAAAATGTTTGTAATAACTAGTCAATCAACTGATTTTATTTTTCTTTAATTTGAGGAAGTATTCTCTGACCCAGAGTTATTTTATGTTTTTTTCCCATAGGTTTAAAGTCATGCACTATTTCACTACCTAACATTTATTCTCAAACAGAGTCTTTGGACTTTGACCAGTAGTAGGAAGAGTGTTAATGGAAAATTCTATCTTATTTTCCATTATTGACCTTTCAGTATAATATAATTCACTAGAGTGTTTTGGAGTTTAACTATTTACTATTGAGTTAATAGAAACTTCTTATTAGAAAGTATAAAGTCTCGAGAGCTCATGTATAATGGCATAATTTTGAGTGGACATACTTTATGTACTTTATAGAGTTATGAAAAATGGTGTTGTGAATGGATAATTATGATTGTAATGCATTCCACTATTGTCATGTAGGTAAGAAATTTAAAAAAAGTTAAAAAAAAGAAAGTATAAAGTCTCAGGAATAAACTACCATTATAAAATAAGGCCTGATACCAAAGCATTTCCAGATAAAGATCGATTATAGGAGTGTTTCTTCCCTACCCATAGGGCAAAAGCTGGATTGTTAAAAGAAGTTATGAAGATTTTCGGGTACTTGATAAACATCTTCATCTCTGTATTTATGACCGAAGATTCTCCCAGCTCTCAGAGCTTCCCCGTTCTGACAGTCTTAAGGACAGTCCAGAGGTAAGCAGAAGTGATCACTACATATTATATATGAATTAGTAGAAACTTTTGTCTGTATACTAAATAAAAGTTTATGTTGAGCACTTAGAGTCATTCCTGGGATTACATATCATTTCTATTTCATAACAGAAACATTAGTAGGATGTTTATAGTTAAAGTTGCTTCAGTGTATAATTTTATAAGGGAGAAAGTCCTCATAATGATAATATATAAACAGGCATTATATGTTAGCAACCATTCTTCAAATAGCACATGAGAACATGAAAAATTAAAAATGTTTACTTCCTAGTAAACAGAAAATCTACATTCAAACAGAGCTGTTTGATTAGTTTATAATGGCAGGTTGTGTGTGCACATGTTTCCATTCCTGCTAAATATTTCTAGCAAAAAAAAAAAAGTTGTTTTTTTTTAATTTAAAAGAAAAGAAATTCTTTATAGCATTAGTCAACAAAAAATTCTTTTGGGAGTCAAAAATTGGGAGGAGTCTTTGAAAGTAGGTGGAATAAGATTTATGGGAACAGAAAATATAGCCTAAAACCCATATAGGATGATTCTAGAAGGTAGGTAAATTAGAAGTTTTACATGCAAGTACTGAGTGAACAGAATATAACTGAGAAGAAGGCCTTTGAATGTATGATTACTGTCCTCTGAGGGGAAGTGAGTTATAATATCCATGAATAAGGACAGATTTTCGTAAAATTAGATAATCAGAAACTTTGGAAAAGAACATATGATCTTTTAATTTTAATAATAACCAATCTGAATAACTGAAGTACATATAAAATGAAAATATCTAAAGAGAGAGTTAGTGAGCTTGAGGTCAAGTCAAGTCATTTATAAGAATATGGTCCTGACAAGGGAATTTTAAGGTGGTAACAATGTGTATAAAGCATTGGATTTGTTTAGAAAGCTGTTTAGGGGGTAGAACATAAAGAGGTACTGTTGATTTGGAGTGTGGAGTTAGGGATGTTCAAGTACAACTTTCCAAATGCAAAATTCTAAATAAAAGGAAATATTTTATCTAACTGATTGTTAACATGAAAAACAATAGTGCTTGAGAAATAAGTTATTTACAAACAATGGGCACTTTATGAAGTATTATTATTAAAAGAATATTAGGTTAATATGGCTGGATTAGTTTTAAAAAACAATATCAAAAAGGGCTATAAGCTTTACCTCTTGCGTTATCTATTCTATTAGCTGTAAATTATTTGTATCTGTACTAAACAAAAATATAACTAACATTTAACTTTTAAAAAAAGAATATTGTCCTGAAAGGGACAAAAAATTAAAAAGTTTTGAGAGTATAGTTGAAAATTGTGGAGATGGATCCAGAGCAGTTCCTACTAATAGGGATTATAGGAGAACAAATCAGATAGGAAGAAATAAAAAATAATATAAAAACTTCCCCATAAATAAAGAAAACAATATTTTCAGATTCAGAGGGCCCATGAGTGCTACCATATAATGAGCAAAAGGACTCACACACCAAGAAGCACTGTAGTGAAATTTTAGGATGTCAAAACATAGAGAAAAATCCTATAACTATCCATAGAACAAGAAGCAGATTTTTTTTTCCTCAAAAGAACAAGCATTAGACTTTTGAGCTGCAGTTATAAATCCTAAGAGGAAGTAATTTTAAATTTAAAATTAATTCCAAGGCAGTTTAAGTAGATAGGGCAAAGAAGAGCCATCATCAGTCATGGAGGGACTGATCCTGCATTAGAGGCTTAGGGATGTCTTAAAATCACAAAGATTGCTTCTTACTATAGAAAACCTAGAAGTCTCCATATTCATTTCCCATCTCTGCTTATTTCTTCATTTTTCTCAGACTCTAAAATTTCATGGACAATGTGCTATTCCATGGGGTAGGATCATTCATAAACATGGCTGCTCCTACCTGGCACAGGCATGGAAGATTATAGAGAGTCTTGGAGAATAGGGTTTCTGGAAATCGGGGGAAAGCTAGGCAGAATAATCAAATATGGATCTGTAATAAACATTTTTTTTTACATTTTCAATACAAAAATAGAGCAGTAAATAACTTCTAATGTTGTAGAATGACATAACCATTGATGATAAGGGGTAAAAAGTTGAAGCCCTGGGTCTGAATCATTATGTCAGTGCCCACAGTTTCAGTGGCAGTCCTCTGTGAAATCCTCTGTAACCATTAAAATGCTTCAAGATCTGTAAACACACCTCTACCCCACCAATAAACAGTTCACTTCAGAGTTTCTCTGCCAGAGAGTACAGTATCTTTCCTGTGAGTTATACTGAACTTTTTCTTTGCAGTCAGTCACTCAGATGCTCATGGCTTACCTGTCACGCCTTTCAGCTATTGCTGGTAACAAGATCAATTGTGGGCCTGCCCTTACTTGGATGGAGGTATTACCTAATTCACTTCTTATGAAAATTTAATTTAAAGTTATTTACTTAAGAAATTTAATATTAATTTGATAGTTAAGTATCAATAATCAAAAGAAGTGGAGTTCTCATCTGGGAGGATGGATATGTGATGCATAAAATGTTTTTCATCTCAAGTCTCCTTTGATAATTTGTGAAATGAGTTTTAATGTATTTTATGAATCTTGATACTTTTTTGGTATTCAGAGTATTAGTGTTCACATTGAGCAAACTATATATTTTTTAGTTTACTTAATAATTGAATTTTGTGGTAAAGGGAATTGAAACTGGGGGTGCTTTTACCATTGAGCTGCATTCCTAACCCATTTTATTTTTTGAGACAAAATCTTGTTAAGTTACTGAGGCTGGCTTTGAGCTTGCTATTCTGCCTTAGCTTCTCAAGTTGCTGTGGTTACAGATGAGCACCACCTTGCCCAGCTAATAATTAAAAATGTTTTTCACTTATTTACAAACAAGTAATAGCTATTTTAAAGGATCTGATTTAAGAGTATATTGAGTGAAACATTATCCTGTAGGGGCTGGGGTTGTGGCTCAGCAGTAGAGCACTTGACTAGCACATGTGAGGCCCTGGGTTCGAACCTCATCACCACATAAAAATAAATAAAATAAAGGTATTGTATCCAACTACAACTAAAAAATAAATATTTATAAAAAGACCAGAGATAGGAAGAATTATGCTGTATATGTGTAGTAAGAATTGTAATACATTCCGCTGTCATTTATTTTTTGAAAAAATAAAAAAAGAAACATTATCCTGTAAATATGTTAGATATTTGTGCTTAATTTGCATAGTTATGTATTTTCTACTCCCAACAGAAATTGGGAAGACAAGAAGGAAAGTAGAAAGCATACTGAACTGTTGAAAGCAATTGTACTCTTGACCTTGACTTTTCCATTATATACTATGTGTTTTTGTAATTTATTTTTTCCTATCTTGTGAAAGATTGAATTACTTTTTCTTTGTTTAACCTCTTCCAACTTTAGCATTGAAATAGTGTTGAAATGATGTATGTTAAGTGCCATAGCACAATGACTGTCATACATTAACTATCTAATAAGTGGTATTTGTGTTTTTTAAAAGACTTTGAATTATTATCTGTCTAAATTAAATTGAATTATATTTTATAAGTAGTCAAAGAAACTTGTGCAGGTTCCATGTCTTTAACTGTCTCATAGTATGTGTGCTTCATTACAGATTGATAATAAGGGAAATCATCTTCTAGTTCATGAGGAATCATCCATCAACACTCCTGCTGTTGGTGCTGCCCATGTTATCAAGAGGTACACTGCTCGGGCTCCAGATGAATTGACATTAGAGGTAAATAATTATGCATTTTGTTCTTTAGTCCCCATTACCTTTCTAGCCTCATGCTTAAGTGTTTTAATCATTTACTTAATTTTAATAAATTAAAAGCACCAGGTATTTCTGAAGTCCTTTATCTTTTGGCCTGGAAACTTTTCTATTTTTGTTTAAATGATCATGTCCATCCTTTAACACTCAGCTTCAACATCTCTCATTTCTTCTAGAAAGCCATTCTTGGTATCCCTCACCTTACTGCATGCAGATAACACCCCCAAAAGCTGGAATGAATGTCATTCAGAAAAGCTTTCATGGCTTAACTATCTATGACATATCAGTTATTACATTTAATCATAGTTTTCCTCCTGTTTGTTTCAGTGGACCTCTTGATAGCAATATCTTTCTTTGTGCTTTTAGTGCATAAAAACAGTGATACCCAGTAATACCTTTTAAAAATGTTTGTTTAAAGATTGAGTTAAAGGACCAGATGGAGGGTGAATGAATATTTCTTGATCAGATGCAAAAGGAGAGGGGAATTACATTTCTTCCTCTAAAACTGTGTCTCAGGTGATAAAAGACAAATGCTAACAGTTATTCAGTTTAAGATAGAAGAGTATCAGTTTTTACTGTGTAGCTTCTGAATGGTTTTCAAACTACACTCTTAGGTTCTGTACAGAAAGAAATGCAGGTCTTCAAAGATATCATATCTCTTAGCAAATATGACTATGAAGATGGCTTAGTCATGACTTGTGAAGTCAGAGTAAATATGTAGGTTCCTAAAAATGTGTATATTAGTTATAGTGCTCTTAAGTATTAAACTTTGTTTTTCATAGATAATAGCACTTGTTTTGATGGAGGAATATAACTTCTATGAAATATATTACTTAATTATTATAATTAAAATATTCATGTAAACTCACTAGCTTACTTTTTACAATGAAGAAAGTTAGGTCTATAGTGGAGTGTTGGACTATAGTGGGTTGTTGAAAGGAGTGGAATTGTCATCACATTTTGTACTTACTAAGAACAATCCATCTTGGGCCTTTCCTATATGATTAAATAAGATATATCAGTATAGTGGCTTGCACATGGTAACATAATGGTAACATTAATGGTATTATTGTTTTAAATATGAGTATTTGAAACTTCTGTAAGTGAGTCTCATTGCTTCCAGTGACAGTGGTTACAAAGTACACAAGTTCTACAACTTAGCATGGGGTTATACCCCACTGAACCCATTTTAAGTTGAAAATACTGTTAAGTTAAAAATATATCAAACATGCCTAACCTACTGAACATCCTGGCTTAGCAACAAGGGCATTGTAGTTTCTCAGTTGTCTGCCCTTGTGACATGACTGATTGGAGCTGTGGCTCCATGTTACGCAGTATCACAGAAGAGTATTATACATATTACTAGCCTGGGAAACAATCAAAATTCAAAATTTGAAGCACAGTTTCTACCAAGTGCATATCACTTTTGCACCATGGTATAGTCCAACCCAATATACATAGGAGTCAGTATTTTAAAGCATAACTGATGATAATGATATGATACCTAGCATTAAAAAAAATCTTCATCTAAAATCTAGCTTTCTGACATTACTGCATATGAGTTACTAAGATCACAGTTTTTGTGTTGCTTAACATTTTTTTAGAACTTTCCTTAGCAAAAAGTAAGATTATTAAATTACTTTAAAAGAGGTAATATATTTTTCCAGAAATTATTAGCCAGAGCATAAAATAGTACTCTGTCCTTTTGTGCAGTTCAAATTTAAACTCTAGGTATAGCAATTGATTTAAAATTGAACTAAAACAATTTTACTAAAATTTTGATTCTTTTAGGTGGGAGACATTGTTTCCGTTATTGATATGCCCCCCAAAGTGTTAAGTACATGGTGGAGAGGCAAGCATGGATTTCAGGTAAGCAACAAAAATTAGGTGTGGAAAAATTCTAAGAACACTTATCTGTATGTCATTAAGAATCCTATTTCTAAGGTATACTGCAAGTGGACTTTGTCATCAGAAATATTGTCTTTAAATGGCATTAAACCTGGATTTCCTTGTCAAGTTGCTTTTGTGGTTTTGTTTTGTTTTCTCCCCCTTCTTTATCATTCTACCAGTGTGAGCAGGGTCTCAGGCCTGAGAGCTGCTTTTAGTATTAATTTGTTTTTTTCTGGGAAGTGGGGGAGGCGGTGTCCTAGGGAGTGAACTCAAGGGCACTCAACCACTGAGCCACATCCCAAGCCCTGTTTTGTATTTTTACTTAGAGACAGGGTCTCACTGATTTGCTTAGTACCTTGCTTTTGCTGAGGCTGGTTTTGAACTCCCAATCCTCCTGCCTCAGCCTCCCGGGAAGCTGCTGGGATTATAGGCTTGGACCACAGCACCCAGCTTAGTGTTAGTTTTAAATCATCATTCATGTATATTTTCTTTTTAAAATATACTTATTAAAAATAAGTCAGTTTGGTAAAATTTTTCTATAAAAATCATTATAACTCTTGTTAGAAACTTACTGTATTACAGAACAACAGTAGAATCTAAAGTCTTCTCATTTATATTTTCCATATACATGTAAATTGTTTAATTTAAGACTTTACAATGGCATCTTTTAAATTAACTTGGGACTAATTTTCATAGAATGGAATGGGGTTTCTTTTCTCTTTTAAAATTGTCCATAAAGGAGACTCTGAAAATGCTTTAAAATTATGTTCTTAATCCATGGTGTGTATGTGTGTGTGTGTGGTTTCCCCATAAAAGTATTGTGAAATGCTGCACAAGGAAACCACTTTCACTACAAAGTCAAAAATTTGATTACTAGTATATAAATATTTTGAGCTTGACATATTTAAAAATCCTGATTATTAACTGTTTATAAAATGTATTTTATAAATGAACGTTAATACCATTTAAAACAGTATACTATAGGAGTTAGTTGTGGGGTCCGGAGTCAAATTGCCTGAACTATAATCATGTATTATCTTGGGCAAATTATTTAATGATCTGTGTCTCTGTTTCTCCATTTGTAAAGTGGGGTTGCAGACAATATTTTTTCCATGTAGACTTTGTCATGAAGGTTAAAAGTATGAAGAGGAAAGTGTAAAGTACTTAGACCAGGCCAGGGGTGTGTGTGTGTGTGTGTGTGTTTGTGTGTGTGTGTGTGTTTGTGTGTGTGTGTGTTTTGCTCAATAAATGTTGATATAAAATTTAAATAATTCTGTTTTTTATTTTAAAAATTTAATTTTATCTATACATTTCTAATAAAAAAGCATATATAGCAATTCACCAGTTTATTTGGAGTCTTTGGAATTGAATTTCTTCTTAAAACCAAAAGGTTCCACTTAAAATCTCTGTACTCCTTCTCAACATTTTAATTTTGATTGTAAAAATAGTAGCAAGTTTGTCTTTATTTGTGTAACCGTTATTTATTGATTAATGACTGTATGCTAGGTGTAGACTTATCTTCCTAATTATTTTATTTAGACCCACACAAGTAAGTCCATTACCTAAACAAACTAATTCTCTTAAAGTCATAAATTAAGTATTCTAAAACTGTTATAACTTAGTTTATTGCCAAAACACATTATTTAAAATAAAAACAAGTGTTTTAAATTCAAGGAGATTTCTCTGTCATTGATAATAAAACTTGCTCCTGTAGGAATGTTATTTTTCGTATTAGTCTCAGAAAGGCAGTGGTGTCTATGTAGATCAAGGTGGAGTGTTCCTGTGAGAACAGCAGTTGATGTAGGGGTCCCCATAAAACCAGCAGCAAGACTTTAAATGTCAAAACTTTTTTTTTTTTTAAACAAAGGAGTCCAATATTTTAAGGAAAGAATCCACCTGGTTCCCTATGCCTTGCAGTCCTACACACTAGTCCATTTGTAAGACTGCAAGGGAAGGTGGGAGTTGGGAGACTTGTTGAGCATCTGCTATGCACAAGCATTTGGCATTTTACATGCAGTGTGTTCTTCAATTTCAAGAAACTTCCAGATAGTTTTTAATCTCCTATTTTTATGGAGAGAAGGCAGTTTTTGAGAAGTTTAATAGACTGTCAGGATGTTAAATGAGTCTCTGTCCCATTGCCTGAAGAGCACTGAGCATGATTTCTACATTCACTCTTAAATTTATTAACTCTATTCACTTTAGTTTTCTGTGCTGTAGAAAAGAACATCTTTCCTTCCCAACCAGCGAGGATTGTGGTAAAGATTAACCAGCTGAGGGCTACAAAGCATACCTGTTTACTGGTAGAGACTGAGTGTTAGTTAAGGTTTTATGTAATGATTAATAAATTGTATCCTGGGGAAAAGCTCCTCCTCAGGCAACTCATGAAGTTCCCTACTCTTGATAGGTATTTAAAAATTCTGAAGATGTGTTCCTCCTGAGATATCCTTTAAGAGTGGAAGATAATCTTAATTATCCATGTATATGATAACTGTAATCTATAGCCCTTTTATGTCCTGATTTTCTATTTTAAAAATCATGAAATAATAACTTTTTCTGATGACTCTCATACTTTTAATTTTTTAACTAGTAAGATGGTTAATCAAAGAGAATCTCATATAACCTCAGCAGGAGAAGAGGTGTCAGTATAGCTGCCCTGATTAGTTTAAGTCAGCCCACTGGACCCCATAGTGCCTGCCTAGGTGGATTCCCTGAGGCCTTCTGTAGTAGTTCAGAGGACCTCAGCAGAGCTAAAAACCACAATTTATGTATAGTGGACCTTACCTTTATATAGTAGATATATTACACCAAAAGCTACTTTAAACTTTAATTTTTAAAAGCTAGTTCACAGTGTAAAAGTATTAGAAAAACATGTTCTTTAAAGGGGCATTTTTTATGTGAGCCCTTTCAAAAGGTCAATATTAAATTTCTCTAATGTAAATTATATCTTAATTCTTGGTATTTCATAAATTCTGAGGTAGGTGGGTCATATAAATTCAGAATGCAAACAGTAATGCTTATTTTATAAATATGTGTGTGAGATTTTATTTTTCCTGTTATTGGGCATGGCTGTTTTTAACATTCTTTCATTTGTCTGTTAGATACTGTTATAGTTTGCTAGGGCTGCTATAATAAAATACCACAGACTGGGTGGCTTAAATAACATAAATTTATTTTTGCACAGTTCTGAAAGTTAGAAGTTCAAAATCAAGATGTTGGCAGAGTTGATTTCTTCTGAGGCCTTTCTCCTTGGTTTGCAGAAGGCTGTCTTATTACTGTGTCCTCACATGGCATTTGCTCTGTTCATGTGGGTGTCTTTGAGTTCTTATCTCCTCTTCTTGTAAGGATAGTAATCCAATTAGATGAGGACCCACCCACTATGACCTCATTTAGTCCTCACTAAAAGCCTTATCTGTAAATACAGCTATAATTCTGAACTATGGAAGTTAAGAATTCAACGAAAGAATTTGGGATGAATACAATTTAGCTTATGATAGGTGCCATTCAACCTGGATAGAAAGGTGGGTTGAACCACTTTTAGGGCTGGGCTGAAGTTCCTTGGGCTTCATGGCCCAGCTGGACTCTCCTTGGAGGTTGTGGAAGGGTTCCTAGAAGAGTGTAGTCTTAAGTATGTGTCTTCCGGGGAGAGGATCTTCAGGTGACCCAGTGAAACCTCTCTCAGTGGGCTCAGGCTGACTGGCATGGAAGAGCATACCTCAGTCATCCATTTGACTGACTTTGGTTATATGCCAATTCTGCAAACTGGGCTCTGACTGCAGACCACAGAGAAGGATGCACAGTGGTGCAGCCTATCTTTCCTCATGGTGCAGAGGAGATGAGGGGCTTACTTGACATGGGGGTGGCCAGGACAATGGTCTTCCTGGGGATCCAAATTTTTGGGTGCCAATTGGGAGAAATAATTAGGGAGCAATAGCATGGGCTGCTACTTCCCATGGTAGAGGCAGAGTCCACTGAGCTGTTGTGTTCTGAGCACTGATGAGAAACTTTCTGAAATATCTGTATTTGCAGCTCTGCTCAGCCTCATAGGTTACGACCTGTTACTTGTACACTACTTTTTCTTTCAGCAAGGTCCCACACGTGTGTTGTCTCCTTTCTCACTTGCCATTCAGACCTGGCATGGTTCAGGTCTCCTTGCGGAAGCCTTTCCTTTATATTGCTATGAACTAGTGCTGTGCAATTGCTGTGTTGTGATTTTCTTTAGTATTTGAAAGTATTTATTAGAATTTTTTTAAATAATAAATAGACCCAATTTTTAGTATAGTTTAGTATATATTACAAAATAATTGAGCAGATAGTTCATGGAGTTTCATAGAGTTACTCCTCCTACAATTTTTCTATATTCACATCTTACTTAACAATGCAATGAATAGAATTGGCAAATGCTGACCTTTTTCTCATGTCAGTTGTTGGCTGTGTTTACTTGAAGTATGTGGTAAGCAGTGTTTCTAGAAAAGTGGTCTGAGGAACACCCAGACCAGAATCATAGATAATAAAAATGCAACCATAAGTCCTACCCACAGTTACTAGAACAGTTTTGGCTTCGCTTTTTGTTATAATTAATGAACCAGTATCAATATGCTGTTATTAACTATAGACCATCATTTACATTAGTCTTCATTCTTGATGTTGCATATTCTGTGCATTTTGACAATTGCCCAATGACATATATCCATCATTTTATTTTCATACAGAATTGTTTAGTCATCCTTCAGTTATTCTTCCATGTTTCACCTGTTCATCTCATCTTCTCTCTGAAATCTGGTAAACACTGATCTTTTACTATTTCCATAGTTTCGCCTTTCTTAGAATGTCATATGGTTGTCATATGGTCTTTTCAGATTAGCTTCTTTCACTTAGTAATTTGTGTTTAAGATTTCTTTCATGTCTTTCCATGGTTCTGTAGCTCCCTTTTTTTAATCACTAATATTCGGTGTTAAGGATGCACCATGATTTATTATCTA